TAACTAACTAACTAACTAACTAACTAACTAACTAACTAACTAACTAATCAACATGGCGGAAAGCTCCTGAAATGACACTCAGATCCAAGGCTGTGCTCTGGACTCCACAAGCATGTGCACACACGTTCACTTGTATGCAACAACACAACCCCGTTCACACCCACACCCACACCCACACCCACTCCCACTCCCACTCCCACTCCCACGAACATAGCTTTGAAGGAGAATAAGAAACAACAGGCCTAACTGTGAAGTAGCAAGGCTGAGAACAGCAAAGAATTACTTCCACAGAAGTAGATTTTTATAATAAATAAATTCACTAGGAGATATCTTTACTCGATGAAGTGTTTTCTTACTTGATAAAACATTCATCATAAAATTGCCGTAAAACAGAACCCTTAAAGATATGACTTTACACATTATAAATGTCTTTGCACTCTACTTCCCTGAGCCGGTTTATTGCTTTGAATGTGTCTCGTCTGTATTGATGTTTTAGGTACTGTAACAATGTAAAGCTGGCAAACAAATGTCTCTACTTCACCGAGAAAGAGAACCCAGCTTCACGGCAGGGTGAAGAGTTAGCCTGGTGATGAGCACACAGCGACACTCCCAATCTGATCTGCTGTTCCAACACCTTCGTCCATCACCAAAGACTCCGACTTAAGCAGAGTATTTGTGAAGTGAGGGAGTCAATGAGCCAAGATCTCTGGATAGTCAAAATTTCGATACTTTGCCAATGTACCTCCAGTCTGGTCCTTGTATACTGAGGTCTGAGAGGCATTCCAACGGCCGTTTCATTCAGTGCTCTCCTTTTCACAGGGCCCTGGGAAGCGGCACCCACACTGGATGACGAACCTGGTATCTGGAACGTGTTCTCTGCTGCATCCTCTCCGTGTTCTCTCCACCACCTGGTGTGATTTCTTCTCCCAGTGACAAGTCTGTCACAAGTTTTCATTCATTCAGCTACTCCTCTGCCTTCAAGCACAGCGAATACCCACCTCCCCTCCCTCTGAACATTGTTTTCCAGGGTCAGCGGTCTGCCATGTGTCAGTGACTCTTCACTTTGTTGAGACAAGCATCTCACCAAGTGAAGGCCGTATCTCTTCCAGTGTCACATATGATGGGACGAATATTCAACGTGTTTAAAAGTAATACTCAGGATATTGAATCCTATTAATGAGGTGGTACAGGTGGCACTTGTGACTTCTACCCCTGAGACCATAATTTTTAGAAATGAGAAGAGTCGTGCGGGGAAAATATTCTCACCGCTGGTGGGAAAAAAAAAATCACGTTTTTTATAGAGTTTGCAAACAGGGAAATATTTGTGGGTTTGTCTCATATGTTTTGCTTTTTTTGGCAAAAGCAAGAGGCAGTTTTCTTTGCAACGAAAACGGCCTTTCGTTTTCGCCAATGCTTCACATCCATTTTTGCCAAGCAAAAAGCTGTTTTCCCAGGAGAAAACAGCTCAAGCTGAAATAAAAGGGAAGCACTATTTGTGATTTTTTTTTTCCCTTTTTGAAGACAAAAATCAGTTCACTCAATGCAAATGTCACCTGGGGGAGTTTGCAGGAAGGAAGGTGAAGGGAGGGTGGTTATGGCATACACTGAAAATGAGTATCGCTAGGAAATAGAAAAATAGGTCCAGGATCACATGGGAGGTAGATTTTAAATCATGCTCAGAATTAAAACACACACACACACACACATCATACATTCAGGATAGTAAGGATTTGTGGCGAATTGTATGTGTGTATTTACCACAAAAAGGGAGAAAGGATGTGCTCTTATTTTAAGCAAGGCTGTGATTAAGTATACCAATCTTAAAAAGAAAGTATTTGTCATTTTCCTGCATGTGGCTTGGGTTGTTTTGCGTGTGGTATACATGGAGTCTCCTTCACAAGACAGATTATAAATTTCCTGGAAATCCGATGCCCATACATAACCCAAGTCCCTCCCTAGACTTGTGACACGGCAAGCCATTAATCAATAATTATTGATTTCTAAGAAGGATTTTCCTGTCTCTGAAAACACTTCAATTTACTGCATTTTTTTTTTTTTAAGTTTTAAATGCCTGTGGGGAGAGCAGCTTCATGAGAAGTCATGAAGAGCTCAACACTGCCCCTTAGTAACCCTGTGTGGGGACAGAGCTGCGGATTTGACGGAGGGCCCCATGCGTGCTAGGCAAGTGCTCTGCCATTAGACTTGAACTACCGCTCCAGGCCTCTTCTGGAGACAGGATCTCGCTCAGCTGTCCAGGCTGGAGTTGAACAACATCTACCTTTATTTAGCCCAGGAGGATCTTGAATTTGCGACTCTCTTTCTCACCCCCCGAGCTCGGGTTGCGAGGCTATGGCATCGCTTTATTTTTTTACCCACCACCACGCTTTCCCTGCGTAAGGAGATTTCACAGATGCAGAAATGCAGCATGCCCTCAGCATTTTGTAGCAGCCAACCTCAATACCTTGGACAGCGCCTAGGCAAGCTAGGTGAGCACACACTTAGTTGACCAAGAGGGATATTGTGATTAAGTGAGCCTTGAGAAAGCAAACCAGGAAAAGAGGAACGGGCAGGGAAGGAAACAGCCCGAAAAACAGCACACTCCTGCTACTCAGTCAGAGAGTTAGAGCACTCTGGAAACCCCTAGCGTACCATTTGGAAGCCTTGGGCTTCCTGTCCCTGGAGGCTGGGCGCTCCTGTGAACCTACATCAGCCAGATGGTAGCAAGACATCTGGAGTGTGTCTGCCGGTGCTGAATTGTCCCTAACCAACAAGGGGAAGGGGCTGTGGCTGTGTGTGTGTGTGCCTGGCCCTTCCGTGCTCTATGGAAGGGTCTTGGGTTCAGCAAGAACAGGACTCTTGTCTGTCACCCTTCCATCTCCAAAGCGAATGTTAAGGAGCTGACATTTATGAACACAAACAAACACCTGCCACCAGTGAATCGTGCCCTGAATAAGGACACACAGGGGTGCATCAGGAGTTTATGATGAGAACTAGAGGCTGTTAGACTGAGTGTTTCCAGCAGCAGGCATTCATTCACACTGATCACGGCATTTATTACAGTCGGTCCCACAAGGAGGGCCCGCTGTCATCCACGCCTCGCTGTGCAGACAGGGAAGTAAGAAAGTGTCCTGTTTCCTCTTGCGGGCAGCCTCTGCCTCTCAGCTCTCATTTGTCAGATGCAGCAGGTTCATTTATATTCCACTGGGCTTCTGCACATAAAATCCATCTCTGAGTGGGCGGGAGTAGCCCCAACTTACTTCCATGCTGTTCGCAGAGTTATTTTCATTATTGGTACATTACGTGCTAGCTCTGTAACTCACTGTACTTGGAGAAACAAATGTTGGACTCTGGAAAGAGAAAAAAACCCAGCTTAATTGCTTTAACTCTCTTTTCACCACCAGGATAGGTATTACTCTCCATCCATCATCACTCATCAAATGCATGCATCGCTAAACCCGGGTCTGAACCCTCAATAACACTGACAAAAAAAATAACCTGGGAGTACCTTGCCCAATGCCCTCTAAGTCTCTGCACATATGAAAGTTAGAAAATGTGTGTGTTCCGTATCTTCTGTCTTTCACATCCTGCAAGGTTGCTTTTCATGTCTACCTGGCTAGGGATCAAACTCCGTGCTTTCCACATCTGTGTATGGCCTACCATTGAGCAACACCTCCGACCTTCTTCTTCTTTTTTTTTTTTTCTTCTTTTTCTATGTTTAAAATTTCAATCCTTAGCATTGGAGAGAATATCCTAAACATAATTTCCATTATTTATAGGTAAAGATTTGGTCCAGTTTCTGGGGAAGGAAAGCTCACACTTGACTTCTGTGTGCTAAGCATTTTTCACAAGACTATTTCATCAATTTTTTCTCGTGATGGTAGTGTTAATCGTCAGTTTGACCAAATCAATCATCACCAGAAAGGGGCTCTGAGATGTCTGCTAGGGATTATTGTGATTACGATAATTGAGGTGGGAAGACCTGTCCAGTGTGGGTGGCATCATTCCTTAGCCAGGGAATCCCTGACCAGGTAAGAGTGGGGAGAGAGAGAAAGAGAGAGAGCTGCACACTGGTACACACATATGCATGAACTTGTTCTTTCCTCTTGACTATGGATGTTTTATGTGACCAATTTTTTTCAAGCTCCTGATGCTTGTACACCTTCGGCATAGTGGACTGTGCCTGGAACTGTGATCTAAAATAAACTCTTCTTTCCTTAAGTTGCTTTTGTCGTTTTTTTTTTTTTTAAACAGCAACAGCACAAGAAACTAAGGCAGCCCAGACGTCGTCTTGGGTGTTGAAGCTTGCTGGTTGTGTGCTATGGATGAGGAAGGAGACAATGGAGAGGTGTGGTCTCTTGTCAACGCATCTGTGACTAAGAGGTGGCAGGGACAGGGACAATATCTAAATCTAGGACTGCCACTTTTAATATCTGATCAATTGCACAACCTTTCCTAGTGTGCAGGGCCCAGGGAACAAGTGCTAAAGTCTGGAACCTTTCAGAGTGCAGGAGAAGATGACAGCTGGACTCTGCTCAGGACATTGTGAATGCAGTCTGTTCTGACCCCCACACCACAGCTGGTGCTTGCCTTATAGATAAAAGAAGCATGCCTGGACCACCACATGTTTATCATGTGTTTTAATGTCCTGTTGGCCTCAAATTACTCTTTTACATCTGACATGAGTTTTCTGTTCCTAGAATCTACAGGATTTACTGAGATGGCTACCCGAAACATCCATGTTTACCATCAGGATTCGGGGCTTCAGGCTACAGCTCAGTGGTAGAGTGTATGCGTAGGCATGTGGTTGGCTCTGAGTTCTAGCTGTGGGACAGAGAGAGAGAAAGAGAGGAGAGAGAGAGAGAGAGAGAGAGAGAGAGAGAGAGAGAGGCAGGCAGATCCTCAGATGTGAGAGCTGTGTCTCCATAGTCACTTGAGCTTCAATCATGGGCTCTGTTACTCACTGGTTAATCTTGGACAAATTGCCTCTCTTTCTATGTCTTAGTGACCTCATCTGTAGAATTAGAAATAGTAACAGTGCATCCCCCACAGGCTCATCTGGGGACATCATGAATTAATGTAGCAGCTCTCAGATGACACCTGACCTTGTCAAGGGCCCTAAGTCTCCGCTGCCCTGTGGCAACAGCCCCAGGAGACAGTCCTTTCTTCCTGGCTGACCAGGAGTCTGTGGACACTTACACTTACCAGGTTTGGGAGATGTTTTGCCTCCTGATCAATGTGTCTTGAACCATTCCTGGATTCTTTCTGCGTATTGCTGGATTTATTCTCCCTTTCATGCTTCCTGGGAAAGGTCTTAGCATAACTTCTGATATCTTACTCTGGTTCTTCTCTTTGACTGAGAATGGAATCCACACTGGAGCCTTCTCCGTGGCTTCCCTGGCATCTGTCTTGACAACACCTCACTCCACTGTTAATAACTCTACATAATGTGGTTAACTCAGTATACCACATCACGGTTCTTGAATGTGTTCTGTGTCTTAAAATGGTTTCAAAGGATCCAAAAGAATCACAGAAATGAAGGTCATTGCCCTAAGGATGTCCCAGAGGTATTCTTTTCTTAGCCTTTCAAATTCTGGAATGGACTGAGCTAGTCCACTGATATGTTACCTTTTTAAATGTAGCACCCATCATCCCTGTATACATTCAGATGGCTTTGCTCAAACTGATGATGCTTACCATATTCTGATAGCTTAGCACAGTTATAGTTAAGACGTGTACTTTTCTGAGTACATGTCTGGCACTTGTCTTTAATCTCAGCACTTGGGAGATGGAAGCAGGCAGACTTTTTTGAGTTTGAAGTTAGAACTATGTAGTTAGTTCTAAGCCAGGCAGGGTTACATGGTGAGATCTCAAGGAAAAAAAAGGAAGAAAAAAGAAAAGAAAGAAGGAAGATAAGAAAGAAGGAAATAAAGGAAGACATCATGTGGCTGCAGGCTCAGTGGTAAAATGCTGAGGAATGTGTCCCCAGCACAGGACCCTTGAACAAAACAAAATAAACACATGTAATGAGATCTTTCTTTAACATGTTGCCCAACAAAGAATACTGGCTCACCTTAAGGGGCCAACTGCCACTCTCAGCCCTGGTAATCATGCCAAGGACAAAGCATATATGTTTGCTGCTCTTGTAAAAGAACATTGTAGGGAAGGGAACAGTCAGACACAGGTAACCATGTACACAGCCTTGTACTGAGTTCTCTGGAGCAAACAGAGGAGGACGTAGAGTATGGGATGGGAAAATATGATAAAGTAAGCGCACCAGTGCTGCCTGAAATGGGGACTGTCCCCTTTGCAGCAGTGACATTTAAGATGGCACCTGGAAAAAGTGAAGAACCAGTACTTCTGACAGAGGGTAAAAGATGGAAGAGACAATACAGGTAGAGCTGGAAAAGAGCATAATATTTAAGGCAGAAAAAGTGTGACCAGGCCTAGGGCGCCTGTGGCAGAGCCCATGGTTATCAATGTAGACATGATGTATCAGGCAAGCCATGCTGGCCACTGTGAAGAGTCTACATACTGATGACTAACATGTCCAAACCTTGCACTGCAGGCTGGACCCAATGACACGAGGGTCCATTCCCTTCTTGGGGCAGAGATTTTCTCCAAGTTTAAATGCCAACTGCCTACTCTAGAAATTTCCAACAATGCCAAAGGAAGCAAGCAGAAAAACATAGCAAGGACTCAGTTTCCTTATTTTACTTTATAAATAGTTTTGGAGATAGGATGTCATTGTGTGGCACCAGCTAGCCTCGAACTTGCTATCCTTTGCAGGGGAGTTCTGGTTTATTTGAACACTCACTTATGGCATGTAAACATGTTTTTGTTTTAATCCCAGGTGCGGGATGTGGGGCTGCTTCAGATTGTCCACAGCAACAGACTATTTGCCTCATGCAGGCTTTGAAAGGGATATGATCTTTGCCAGCTGCAGATAGTTTAATTCTGGGGACTCTGAAAGGGTATAAATGTCCACAGAGGGAGGAGGGCATTCAGAGAGAGCAGAAAGCTGCTGTTCCCCCCTGATGCTCCTGGTTGCTGTTGTTGCAATTTGATGAGAAGAAGTAGGAGATATAATCTGAAACTAAGATTATACTTTCCCCACAGAACCCAACAATCCTAAATAGCAGGAAGTAGTCTAAAGAGAATTATGCTCCCTCTCCCCACTAACCTTCTTTCTCTCCTACCTGGTGTTGGAAGGAATTGGGGTGGAGAAGGGAGGTAGAAGCCTAAGAACACCAATAAAATAGATACAAAATTCCACCAACAATCCTTCACCTTCTACCCCTCGAATTCAGGGATTATAGACAGGGGCAGCCAATCTGCACACAGGAATCAAGTTTTAGATACTTTTGCCAAGAGCTAGATAGAAAGAGAAAAAATAAATTTTCAGTTCTGGTGCTCCTATTTTTAAAGTTGTGGTGGCTTTCATCTGGTCTGTTATGAAGACAAAGATGGCCAGGGAACGGCAATCCAAGCTTCTTTGGGTTACGCGTTTAATTGCTTTAACATGAAGTATTGGTATCATAAAAGGAAAAGTTAATCTGTTACAGACACATTCAAAATTCCAGACACAATCCATCAATTCTCTCACAGAAGTAACAGCTTTCTCCTTGTCTTGCAATCTGCACTTAAATTAAGATGAGGTGCTTGCCACTAGTTTTTCTGTTATGTGCTGAAAATTCAAAGGCCGACGTTAACAAGCAAAAGCTAGAGTAAGGGAGTGACACAGATCCCTTTGAGGAACTGAGTGTGAAATGGAACTTCAGATAAGGGCTCTGTTTAAGCGTTAAGTGTCATTGCCCCGTCTTGACAGAGAGCTGATTTCTTCTAGAACGTGACCCAAACTGTTAGGCTGAGCAACGAATGCATTCTTAAAGATGAATGCATTCTGTTCGTGCGGTCTTTTCCCTTCGTTTGCTTTCATTTTGTCTAAAGCTTTGACTCTGCTCCTTATATCACTTCGAGAAGAAGAAGAGAACGGGAAGACCCTCCTGTGTGGAAGAGGACATGAGAACACCCACTCACCCACCCCCAAGAACAGGAGGAAGAGAAACGCAGTGATTTAGGAATAAGAGCGTCCCCTCAGGCAGGTTTAATTAAATACTGTAACGTTGATATGGTACTTGTCAGTGTGCTCTTTAATTACCTCGAAAGCACTACACTCCCCCACATTCATTTTCCAGACGACAAAACTGAAAATCAAGATTTATGAAACAATCCCCAGACAATTAGGACAAGGTCCTCTACAATCTCTAGTCCCAAAAAAAAAAAAAAAAAAAAAAAATCGTTTCCTCATCCCCTCAGTCTTCTCTGGCCAGTGTTCATCACCAGACCTTCTCTGTGATCCATCCTGGACGTAAAAACCTCCCCAAACTTCCAGAATAAAATCACTGTTTTTCTTAAAACTTTTTGTAAGAATGGACTCTAGATAAAAACTGAAGCAACCACGCATTGCTTCTCCATATTTGCTTCTTCCGCATTTACATCAGAAGTGAATTTTAAATTAAGAAGTACAGCAACTTACATTTTAAGAACAATTCAGCTTCATCAGCTGACTCAGAAGTCGGCTCCTCCAGCTGCCGTTCTGAGGTTTTTCTTTAAATTACATTGATCTTGCCTTTGCCACCACCAGCCAGTCTTCTGATTGAAGGGTAGCCATCCACAGAGATGCTTTTGCAGGTCACTCTTTGCAGATATCAAGAGCTAAGCTATCCAGGGAAAGCATTTGGTGGGGAAACACCAAAGCCATGCTTCAAATGGCCACCTCTGTGAGGCACTGTGCAGAGAAGCCAGGCTCCTGGAAGACTTCCGGGGTTTTGACAGATGAGCAATTTCATTTCACTCTTCAGTGGGGAAGGGTCACGGCCAGTGACAATCTAAAGACTTTGGGTCGAAAAGCATGATCGCGATTCATTCTTATTTTACAGCCATGGAACCCCTTTCACTCCCTAAAAAAAGATACTTTGATCGTCTGCTTATCACCATCTCAATCCCAGGAAGCCTTCCTTCTTGTCAAGTTTATTCTTCCATCTTTGTGACAAAAACACTTGAATCATAAATACTCATACATTTTTTTATGGGAGGGTTTGAAGTTTTTGTATTCTATTTTAAGTGTTTGAATTTATCATCATGTAGTGACTATATATATATAATAATGGGTTTTGTGACATTTCCCTGCCTGAATATAATGAATTCTGGTCATATTCACCTCCATTGCCCTCCCATTTGGTTGAACCCGTTTCTCTTTTCAACTAATCCTCTTCTACTTTTATATCTTCAAGTCCTTGTATGTGTGTGAGTAAATTATTTTAATTGGCTGTCTTAGGGTTATCACTGCTGTGATGAAATGCCATAAACAAAGCAACTTGGAGAGGAAAGGGTTGATTCAGTTTATGATTCCACATCACACATCATCAAAGAAAGTCAAGACAGGAACTCAGGCAGGGCAGGAACCTAGAAGCAGGAGCTGAACCTCCATGGAGGGGTGCTGCTTACTGACATGCTCCCCATGGCTTGCTCAGACTGCTTTTTTGTACAAGGCAGAACCACCAGCCCATGGGTGGCCCCACCCACAATAGAATGCACTTTCCCCATCAATTACCAACTAAGAAAATGTCCCACAGGTTTACCTTCACTGCAGTCTTATAGAGGCATTTCCTCCTCTCTGGTTACTCTAGCTTGTGTCAAGGTGACATAAAACTAACCAGGACATTAGTATTGGTGTTACCAATAGGCACATGGGGATTATTTACAGGAGTGGAGTGAATTTGCCAGAAAATGTCTCTCCCTCCCCCAGCAACTACAGACTGGTTATAGCTCAGAAGGGGTGGGCAGGCCCTTGTGACTCCCTCTGTCACCTGTGGTAAAATACTAGCAGACTCAGTCTAGCACAGCGCAGGTGCTCACAGCTGTCGCGAGCTCAAGAGCACGATGGCCACGTCATGGAGACGCTTCTCAAACAAAGGCTGACACCATTCTTCGTGAACGTGCTGCGTACTTGGAAGTCAGTTCAACAGACATGTCCCATCCACTTAGCCTGAAAGCAACCGTAGCCTGTCCACCAGGGCCACTGAGCTTCCCAGCCCCACGTTTTTGACCAGGTTTATTAGTACCAGACACGAGTTTCCACCATAGCTCTGTGGGCACATTGTACCTGGCAAGTCAGTATTGTTAGCACCAGGGGTTCACAACTGAGTAAGATTGCTGTTGACAATTCTCCCCAGACGGCCTGCACAGCACCTTCTGGCACTGCGAAATCTAGCCAGCGGGGAAGACGCTTCCAGATGAGTTCCAGCTTTATTTCTGCACGTTCTGCGACCGAAGCAAGTGTCGTCTTCAGCAGTGGGGTCTCACCACCTAGTTCGGCTTGGCAGCCAACGGCCGTGGAAATAGTTTCTACTGTCTGAGCAGCCAACAGCTCCTAAGGAGGTAGCCCATCTCTGGCGCTGGGACTCCGAGTTAATAACCTTATGGCTTCTGGGAGCAGCTTCAGCCAGACATACAGGGCACCTCCAATCCAGCTCTCTCCTACTTTTCAAGCTTTCAGACATTTTTATGGTGTATGTGAACCAAATTCCTGCTCACATCCCGTGTGCCCTTCCCTCCCTTCCCATATGAGTCTCCTTAAGCCCTTTTCTTGTATTTTCAGGCCAAGTACACACACACACACACACACACACACACACACACACACACACGAATGTAGTGATGACGTATGATTGTGTGTATCTACATAAAATCTAGGGGTACAAATGAGGGAAACATTATGATTTTTGCCTTCTTGTAATTGGTTTAATTCACTTAATATGTTTATTTTCAGTCCCATCCATTTTCGTGCAAATGATGTAACTTCTTTCTTTATGGCTGAAGAACCCATTACATACATATGTAAAAATTATATGTATATATATATGTATGTGTACCACATATTACCTGTCCTCCGTAGATGGATGTCTGTACCGGTTCCATAATTTACCTATTCTTGAGTAGTCCTGAAAAAACAAAACGGATGTGTAAGCATCTCTGTGACAAGTTGGTTCAGAGTCCTTCAGAATACCCTTAAATATGAGTGCACCATTCTTGCGACTCCTTCAAGCCGAGTCACGTGGCCAGTTTTCCTCATGGCCCGTCCCCCCTGGCCATCACCCGTTGAGCGCCTCTGCTGTCCTGTGGTGATGTTACTCTCTCTCTTCCTATCTACCCGCTCCTAAGAAGACCTGAGCACAGCAGTGCGGGGGTGGCCTTGCCAAACGCACTACGCACTACGTCGCTCCGCGTTTCCCTCTGCCGCACATACAGCCCCAGACCGCACTCGCGTCCACGGCATATTGCGAACATGTCTAATCTGTTGTCTTCTGCCTCACCGCGCTCTCTGTATCCCGGGCCTTCCTTTCTCGACGCTCACTGCTGTCGCCCTCCCACCCCCACCCCAAGGCGCCGGAGTTATACCTGTCTGATTTCATTCTCACTTCATTTGATCCTTCCCGTATTTTTAACCTCAGAAATCCCACGTAGCACTTCTCTTTATTCGCTGGTGTGTTTCCAAGCCTTTTCTGATTTAATTTCATCTGCAAATCTAATTAACATGCCGTGTACTACATTTCCCGCCCCCCCCCCCCCCAGGTTACAAACAGAAACGCTCAGGAAAAAAACACAACCAACGACAACCAGCATTAACAGGGATTCCCGGGGCCCTTCCCAGCGCCTTGCCCCCTGGGATAGCCTGGGAAAATGCAATTAACTTTCTCCAGCTCCAGGGATGGTCTTTGCAGCCACTTTACACCATTTTGATGGACAGCTGTGTCTCTTCCCTAATCAGCCAATTTGGAGATAGAACAATTACAAAAGACAGCAATTACTGAATGCAGTCTGTCATTTCGAAGATGGAGGCTGAGGAGGCAAAGAGGAAAGAAGAAATGGCCCAGTTCTAGTCAGATGATAAAAAGATCTCAACTCTCTTGAGGGAGTACGCAGGAGGAGGCTAAAAAGAAAGACAGAGAAAGGTAAAAAGCCGGTTTTCCAAACCCCCTCCCAGGCTACTCCTAATCACCGGCCAATGGTTGCTTTTCCTGCGTTTTGTTTTGATTAAAGACTCTCAGAGTTTGTTTTTCTCTTATTTTTAATCACACCCTGGTATTTAAACAATTGCTTGCAAGCTGTTTCCTTTTATCTCTTTCTCTTTCGGATTTTTTTTGTTGTCATAATTGAAACATATTTCACTTTGTTTTTGAAAGTAAATAAAATAGATGTGAAGATCTTTTTGCTGACCACAAGCCACAGAACCTGGAAGACATGGGTGCCTGTCACCTCTTTCTTCTTCAGCCTCAGCAATTCCAAGTTCTTTCTCTGAATTCACTCAAGCAGTTGTCTCAAAACACCATATACCTATGCTGTATCTAATATGGAAGGCTAATAAATGAAAATACATCCTTTCCTAAGTCTAACGAGCATAGTTTTGTGGTAAGGATAAGAAAACATCACAAAAAAGTATATTTCCATTTCAGTATATATAATTAGGGTAATTTCTAAGTGGCTTTTTTTTTTTTTAATACAGGAGCAAGAGAACAAGGCAGTGAAAGAATTCATGTTAAAACTTGTAGAGGTAAAAAAAAAAATCGTTCTCAGCACCTCAGCACAGGCTGCCAGAATATCATGAAGCAGAAAGGCACAGACCACAGTAAAAAAATGAAGGCCGGGAAAAGCCTTTTCATATTTTAGAGAAGAGACTCACGTTAGAAGATCTTATGAACATTTTACAAAAGCCTTTGCCTCTCTGCAACTTTTTTTTTTTTTTCTGTTCTCAGTAGGAAGGCAGAAGAAAAAAAAATAATCTCACATAAAATTCCACCTTTCTGGTGAGGGACGAAAAAGGGAGAAGAAAAAAAGATGTGTATAGAGATGCCCAAGGGAGAAAAGAATTACTGAAGTCAACCCTGTGTGTCCACCATCAAGTAAACTGAAAATAGATCACGGGACGCTGTAACATTGCAGCACCCGAGCTTCCCAGAACCGCAAGCGGGTGGAATAGGCTTCGACCAGACGCTTCCGTTGTGTCTTGTACAGCTGCAGCTCTGGGACGTCTTGTAGGTAAAGTTGCCCAGATGAGGTTGAGCACTGAGCCTGATGACCGCCTTGTTTTCCTTTGGTTGTGTGACCTTATGCATGGTATCTGGTACCCCACTCACACACTCAACTTTTGCATTTGTCACATGTCTTTGTCCAATCAGGTTGCAGAAATGATCAAATGGGATAATGAAAACAAAACCCTAGGCTTCATGTAGATGTCAGATATCCCATAATTAGGATTTCACAAAACCTTAACTATCACCATCAAAAGCATCTAGAATTGCTACCAAAAACCACTGGAAAACATTCAAATTTGTATTCATTAACCATCCTGTGATATTAATGCTTTACTTTTCAAACAAATAAATTAATAAGAACATAAAATATGAAAATGTTTGATGGCATCTAACTTGATAGTCTAACTTGATAGTAGATCTCTACTTAGCATTTATGAGGATCTAGGCTTAATATTCAACAGCAAAACCACATCATCATAGGTTTAAAAATTAAAATTACTAGTAAATACTTACTTACATATACTTTTTAATTTTTTCAGCAGTAATCTGTTTCAAATAATCAAATTTAGTCCCACAAGATTTCAACTGAAGTTATATTTTGGAATTAGTCTGCCATTTAAATTCTTAATATTTTGCTTTAGTTTCCACTTCTTTATCAATGATGCGAAGTAAAAACAAACAAAAAAAAGTGGGTCATTTAATAGCTGATATACTGAAATGAAAAAACATTTAATAATCAAATGATGAAGTACTAAGTATTAAATAAGACAGTGGAAGGTTAATTCAGTTCACTGAGGCACAAGGATTCCTCAGACACCACCACCAGCTCTTGGGAAAGGGGCTCCATATCAACTTGCTTTGCTTGCAATACAGCTGACATTAACCAGGCTACAAATATTCACCCTGAACCCTGCAATGGCTGCACAGTCCTCCAGTGAACTAACTTATCACTCACTGGCCAATCTGCAAATGGCCTGAGATTTCGAACATGGAAAACATGCTTTTATACCTAGCCTCCAGCAATGCATAAGTGATAGAAGTTTCATACAAAACACGCTATGAAAAAAAAAATCAGGTGTGTGTGGGGTTTGAGGGGGTGTTTTGCTCAGCGGGCTCCCTCCTGTCACCATTTTATTTAGTCTCCCACATGTGGGGCAGGCCTGGAGACGCCGCAAGGATACAGAGGTGTGTCTCCTGGAGGACTTCAAATCCAGTCAAGTTGACAGTGAAGTTGAACTAGCAGGCACTTTGCTAATAAGATAGATATCAAACTAAAATTTACAACTGAAGGACTCCTTTGGGGCTGTACAGAGAGACGGAGACCAGATCAGAATGAGTGGAAAGAAGCTGAACGGTCACGACCTCACCCCACAGTGAGAGGATCAGGTAGCCCACTCCTCACAAAGCGCTAACCACGGCATGTTCTCATCTGAACATCAGCCCTGAGCATGGTCAGCCTCAGATCTAAACAGCAGTTGACAGGAAGTACCCACAGAAACGTCCCCACAGGAAATGGGTGGGATAGGCAGACCAGGCTGTTGATAGTTACTTTCCTTACAGTTTTGACAAGAGCAACCTAAGGGAAGAGGGATTTATTCTGGCCCATGGTTTGTGAGGATGCAGTCCATCATCATGGGAAAAGCATGGCGAGGGGGATATGCAGGTGGACTCTGAAATCTCAGTGGACCAGAAAGAAGAGAGAACTCAAAATGGTCTTATAAACCAGAAGCTCCATGCCGTGACCCTGTACCTCTCTGCTGGACCCTATGTCCAAAAGCTCCCTCTTCCTACCAACCAGCATTACCAGCTGCAAACAGTTCAAACACAACAGCCATTGGGGGGGGAGGGGGGTGACATTTCACATTCAAAACAAAACAGTCTAAAAACTTAGGAACAAAAGACCTGGTTCACCCAATGAATTCATGAAATAAAAACAAAGCAGAACAAAAAAACCAAAACAACAACAAAAAAGGAAGAAATGCAAGAAATATTGACCCTTGGTGGGCCCTGATATGAACAAACCAGCTGTATGGTCACACCTTTGAGATAAGCAAGTGACTCTCAAGGCAGATTAGAAATTTGATGGTGTTAAAAAACAAAACAAAACAAAAACAAAACACTGTCTTCCTAATGTTTGATTTTAGAATTTTTAAAAGCTGCCTCTGCTCATTAGGAATGAACACTGTAGTCCTTCAGAGCAAAATGACATTTGGAATTTGGCTTAAAATACTCTAGGGAAGTAGGAGAGAGAAGTGTGTGTGTGTGTGTGTGTGTGTGTGTGTGTGTGTGTGTGTGTGTG